TGGCCCGACGACCTGCGCACGTATATAAGCGAAATTTTTTTCTTTCTTTCAGAGCTGTCTACTTTAATTTTCAAGAATTAAATATTTTTTACAGAAGCATATATCTGTACATATTCACACATTAATGCTGAAATTAACTATAAAATATTCACAAGCATTTTGATTTCGAAACAATCATATTATGTTTTTAGCGGAGTTAACCAGTTTCAACTAGTTGACAGTTTTAACTAATTTTCGACGTTTGTCTCAAAAATTCAACACTGGTGTGAGGTTTTAAAATTAATGAGATTTAAAAACATACCTTTTCAGTAATCAATTTAGACTGAAGATGTTGCTCTCCATGAGGAATACTAGCAATTCTCTTTTTTAATTCCCCACGTAAAGCGGCTTTAGCAGCTCTTAACGCAGCTGTAGCAACACCAGCCATATTATTTGGAGAAAAAAAAGGTTTCTAATCAGATTGAGAAAAAAAAAGAAGAAAAAGTCGCTATTAAGTTCCAGACGAATATGCAACTTATTTTTTCTCAGATAACTTCTGCATGAACTTTGGAACAAGCCTTTACAACAAATAAAAATCTAAATGTGGAAGTCCTATATCACGAAAATATTGTTTATTTACCTAAGTCATTTCCAGCTGATTATTTCTGCATAGCTTAAGACGAAAGTGTGTAAAACTGTAATTGCGTTCATTTTAGTGAACAAATGGTTCAAATGTGTCAGTGTAAAAAGAACTTAAAATAACTGTTCCTTTACTCGATATCAGTTATCTAAAGTATCAGTTATTAAAAATTAAATCTAATAAAAACTTTTGTTTTTGTTTAGGCCACAGGGTGACAAACGAGACCATTCTTGTTTATTTAATAATAGTCATAGCAAATCGAAAAAATATTGAAATCTTTTTCTTTATAATTTCAAAGTCATCTGTTAAAATATTTTACTTAATTTTGCAATTTGAGTACTAGTTGAAATTATTTCAAACTGAAAACTAGTTTCTTTCTGTTTTTCAAACGTTTTTAGAGATTCGTAATTTCTAAACTGCTTTTGTTTTTAAAGATTATGGCAGTCGCTTGTGCTTCTAGATTTTCTGTTTTAAAACTAGAGGATGATGATGTATCAGAATCCTTGGATAAGAAACAGAATGTATCCTCTCAGAGTAATTGTTTACCAGGCAAGAGTAAAGGCAACTCCAAAACAAATGCGAACGACTCTAAGTCAAAATCTAAGAAAAAGAAAAAATCATCTAATGAAGTATCTGAAGTTAGTAAAATTTCATTTTCCAAATATTAAGAATAATATGCAAAGCTGCGTGTAGTTATTTTTTGACTTGCAAAATTTCTGAAACTTGATATTGAATATTGGATAGTCTAATTTTATTTAACTATGATTTTCTTTAAATTTATAAAAAAATCACAGTAGTTTTAAAAAGCTGCAATTATTTTTAAATTTAAAGCTATTTCCTCTTCAAACAATTTTATTTTAAATTTCATTTTTGTACTCAAACTATAATTCTAGTTTCTCTTTTATTCTCAAGTATGCAATCATTATGTTGTATACTTGTGTTTGCAACCTTTACATTAAGGTTACACTACCTTTTTGAATGAATATCCACTTGCACCGAAGATCCTAATTTTCTGTGCAGTTTATAACAGACGCATGTCCAAGTATTTAGACATGTTGACAGCAATTATGGTAATTTTTATATAATCATCAGTGTTCTAGCCACTAAATATATTTTATCAGTCAATTCTCAAAAACCTTATGGCAAAATCGCTGCGACACAGACATTGTTGCAGAACGTTACCAAGTTCTGCAGAAAGATTTTTCCTTTAGTTTTTTTATTAGAACTTCAGTTTCTTTTTTGCCAGAATTTTCAAAAAGTTTTTCTTTGCAGAATTATATTCAAAAGTTGTCCTTCTTGTGCATCGGAGTGGGAAAATACTTGTGATTTTTCTATTCTCTTTTGTGGTAAAGAATTATGAAGTAAGAAATTTTGGGGGTGATTTGGATATTCTGATCTGTGGCAGAATAATCGCTAAGTCTTGGAAAGTTCCGGCAAGCGGCCCATGTGAAACTAAACAGAATATCACAGAAAAGGACTTAGTGTGTGGTTATTAGTGTGATTTTCTCCTTAGAAAATGCGGGAATATCGCCAATAGTATTAGAATTAAATTACTATTCAATTTATAAAATTATATGCAATTGTATTTTGTCCAAATAGAAACTTGTTAATTTTTCTTTTCTTTCTTTTTTTTGTAAACACAATGCTTTTATTACTTTAAATTAGTAACTTTGTGTATATTTGTTATTATCAAAAGTACCTTGCAGAAAGACATTAGTGCTAGAGAGGTTTGTCACTGAAAACCCGAAAAAATTCTTGCCAAGGGCTCAAAAATATATTTGATTAAACGAAATTAAAGATCTCATTCTTATTTTTAAATTATTCTTTTAAAACATTATTAACGATGTTATTGTAACACTATATTAAAATGATAATTTTCTAAGTAATTATTTTTTTTTTATGAAGGAATTCTCTTCCAAAATAGTAGTCAATTATTATAAAAATCAGCCATAAAAATATTGAAAACTCTATGATTTTTTTTTAAATTAAATATTTAACTAAAATTAGTTTTGGGGTCATATAGGTTTAAATATATCTTTTCTGTAATTACAGCTACAAAACCTTGCTTTTGGAACTCATAAGTCAAAGCATAAGTCTGGTTCGGGTAATATGAAAGTAGTTAATGCCAGCCAAAAGCAATGGGAAGAATGGAAGCAGAAGGATAGTGAAGTAAGTCAGTAATTATATTATTAATTTTGATAAAAATTATTGAAAGTTATACAAACTATTTCTACCAAGGCTCTATTTTTATTCTTTGGTACTTCATACCGAGGGCTTGAAATCGAAATTCGAACTGGTGTTCATTACCATAATTTGTTAAGAAATTCTCAACATTATTTCAATATATTCCCCTCCATTATTGCTTTGTATAACTTTAATCACTTTACCAATATTATTTTTAGTTACTGTGATGTATTTCTTAATTTTAGATAGTTTTAGTTTTTTATTTGTGTCGCACTAGAGATGCACAATGGGCTATTGGGGACAGTCTGGGGAAACATCCCTGAGGATGATCCGAAGACATGCCATCACAATTTTGATCCTCTGCAGAGGGGTGGTAGGTAACCCCTTCTTCGGTGGCCCGACGACCTGCGCACGAAGTCGAGCACTTTACAGTAGAACAGTTCAATGAAGACCACCACCTCACACCTTCGATCCCTTCGTAGACTGATCCAAGTGGCCACCCACCCCCACACTGACCGTAGCCAGTGATGCTTGACTTCGATGTTCTACTGGGCTCTTCTAAATAGTTCGCTGCGGGACCATTTCGCTGTTGGATGGCGTCAATCATCTCAAACCAACCAGAAACTAGCGGAGACTAATTTTTTTCCCTCCCAAGCATTATCTTCACCTAAAAATAAATAAAACTATCGCGAAAACCACCATCAAGTATAGAGCCGTTTATTGCCAAACAGTATGATATACTTTGTCCTAGTGCCTCACATTATTTTGAATTTCCTTAAATTTAGAAAAAACATCACTTGGTGTATCTGAAATAGTCTTCTACAAATATTATCTACCACAAATACTGGCTATTTGCAAATATTTATGTTTATAAAAACAAATTATGTTAGTGTCTTTTAAAAACTACATTATCTAATAAAAAGATTTAATGTTTGTAAGAGTCAAAATATTGCTATTGTTATTCTTACTAATCAAGCAATTTTATTTTTTTATTCTTTGTTTTTATTTTTGTTTAAACTGATAAAAATGACTTGCTGAAAAATTCTCTTAAGTAAATGATATTATTACAACTTTTTTTTCAAAAGTCTAAAAATAGACAGTATTGAATTACTTTTCTGAAGAGACTTTTGAAAAATTGTGTTAGTATAATTTTATCCAAAAAAAAGTTTTAAAAAAAACTTGGGAAATTCTCAAAATGCATTAATTTATCTTTTTAATCAGATTATGCAACCACCTTATATTTGATGTGTTTTGTTAAATTCTGCTGCATAGTTTAAATGTTTATCATCAGTTTATTTAAGATAGGTAATTCGAACGTAATTACTATTACCTCCCCCCCCACCTCCTTCTGACATTCGAATTATTGAGTATTTATTTTTGGCTTGTTAAAAAAAATTTCTTCTTGATTAACCTTTTGCTTACAGCTGGTACAACATATGGACCACATGTGATAGTACAACATGGTATATCGTAAGCAGAGGGTTAAACACTCAACTCTATTGTGAAATTTGGGGTGTAAAATGGAATTGATTGTTGCTTGGGTTGATCACAATATGTTAAAAATATCCTGATCTAGTTTGGGTTTCATAGGTATATGTTTAAATTGTTGAAATATTTACCAATATGAATATATATCTTTCTTATTTTTCAGTTTGTTTCTGAAACCTATGAGCAAGATTTGCAGGAAGCACTTCTTTTGAGCAAAATAGATTATGAAGAAAAGAAAGATGTAATGTTTTATATGCTTCATTGTTTAGTTTTCTCGGAACTTCAATTGAAATTTATATAACTTGATAAATGTTTTTTACAATGGAAGTTTTTTTTAAAAATTGGTGCAGTTACATAGGTGTAGATTCCTTAAATAACACCGCTTACAATGTTTTATGTATATTTATTTAGCAAAAGAAGTGTAATTATAAATTGTTAAACATTATTCCTTTCTAACATTTTATTAAAGTAGAAGAATAGTGATTTTTTTGTATTTTAGCATAATTGCGATTTTGTGTACTGTTGTAGAAAAGAATGCTTTATTTGAAAAGCTGTAAAACAAAGTTCTAAAAAATTATTCAAGCAGCTTCTCAAGAATACCACAGTAAAATTTTGAATGTTATAGAGAAATTAACTCCTCTCAATGCTTGAACAAGTTGTCATGATTTTCTATAAATTGCTTCTTTTTTTTTTCTCCATTTATTGTTAGAAGCTATTAAATTTTTCTTCAAATATTTATGGCTATAGGTTAAATTAAAAATGCGATTTTAATTAATTTCCTAATTGAATTCTCCAATAAAGATTTCAAGTAATCTTCCAAGTACTTATACAAACAAATTTATCAAGCAAATTTATTACCATTTAGTGGTACCTTCACAAATTTTTTAAGGAAACTAAATCACTTAACTTAATCATTTCACAAAATAATTTTAAAATGTTCTCATAATGAAAATAACTTTTAGTGCTAGTACTGTTAAATGCATTTATTTATTGAATTCAAGTTGAAATTTAACTATGGACAATGATTTTTATGTAATTTTAAATTTGGATAAAATTTTAAGCCCAAAATTTTACAATAGTAAAATTTTTTTTGAATATATGGGAAAAAAGACATAGAAATTTACCAGTTAAATAATTTTTATTAGTGGTGACAGTTTTTAAAAATATTTTCTTACTTTATCTTGTTTATGTATTGATTTTTTTAATACAAGTTTTATTTTTCACAAATCATGTCTTAAATTTTCACAAAATAGGTACCTCTTAAAAAAAAAACCTTGGCAGATCCCTGATATATTAATATAGTTCTGAGTCTAATTAAAAGACAGTAAATAATGTTTTAAAAAAATTTACTCATCTTTGGAAGCAACATTAAAGTATTGTTGGTAATATTGGATAAAGGTATCATCAAAATGGCAAAAATTTTACCTGGCTAAAACTAACTAATCTTTCCTGCATGGTTATCCTACAATGTCTCATTCAAGTGAGTGTTAGTGACAAAAGGGGAACACATTCTTATTACGATTTATGATGACTCTGGAGTTGAGTTTTCGTTGCTATTTTTAATTTTGGTTGAACATGACTTATGATATTTAGCAAGAATTCTTTTTCATTTATTTGAAACTTTATTGAATTATTGACATTGAAGTTTGAATCAATAAATTTAATTCAAGGTGGAGTAAATAACTTGTGTTAACTTCTAGGTTTATGATGCTATTCAGAGAGAAAGTGAAAACAAAAACTCTAATAAAAAGAAAAAGAAAAACAATCAAAAGAAAGAAAAAGGGACCATGAGTTTAGATGAATTCCAAAGCCTGGAATCATATCAGAATGCCCCGGGGTCTTTTCATAAAGCTTCTGGTAACTGTTATTTTTTATTTATTACCAATTGAATTTGAATTTTTTATTTATTTATTTTTTCATTGCTGACAACACTATTTTATTTGTACAGATTTAGATGATTTTGAAATTCTAGTAAAGCAACCAGTTGTAGAAGAATGTAATTTCTTTGACAAAATTGAAGAGGATGCAGAGAAAATCATTACAAAGGAGCAGAAGCAAGAGCAGTACAAAATTAATGTGAGGCATAAGTATCTACTTACACTTATCATAACTTAAATTTAGTGTGTTTATGTATATGTACGAGTCAAAGTGAATGAGTAAATTTTCAATAAAGCTTGTGAGGTCCTGGCCAAAGGCTCCCAAATTTATAGGTACCCCTCAAACTTTATTATTTGAACAAAGGATTAAACTGAAAAGTTTAAAAGATTTGGTGAACTTTTGGGACCATAGATTTCAATTGCCAACAAGGGAGATTGAGAAACTGATTGGTGTAATATATTCAGAGCCGGTCCTAGCTGATTTTCTCGTGTAAACAAAAATATTTTGGATGCCTTTCTCCATTTAGGGTTGTAATAAATATGAACAGAGTAAAATAAATGTTAACCTCGATTTTAAAAATAAGTCAAAATCTACAAGAGGCTCTTACACACCTGGAAAATTAAAGAAGTAGTGATATTAATAATAATTTTATATATTGTTATATTTGCTACCAAAAAATTTTGATTTTCTCTTAATAAATATTTGTAAATCTGAAGGTGGAGTATATGAAACTTTAATTCAAAAATGGAAGCTAATATTAAGAAAATGTTCAGCTTTTTTATAACAAAATTGATACCAGTTTTGAATTTTTTCCAGGTGCGTATGAACTTTGCCACAATTTTTTTTTTTATAGAAAGGCGGTACCAACAGCTTATATAATGTTCTTTTATTTTAAATTCTATCGAGCAGAATAATTGAATTATGAAGCTCTAAAATAATGAAGAGATAAATAAGTTCATGAAATGGATACATTTCTCTCAAAAACAAAAATCATTAAGTATAAATAATTTTAGGAGTGAAAGATACTATAGAAAGAAATATGTTTAATACTCTTCCAACAAACTTCATATAAATTCAGAGAAATTAATTTCCTTATTTATTTATCTAGTTATTTCATTTAATTAGCATAATTTTACGTAGCATATACAGCCTAAAAAACAGTAAAAGGAAAACAATGTGCAAAATATCAATTAGACTGAAAAAGAATGTTCTTGTTCAGGGTTCCTCACGGTTAGGATAACCTGCAGAAGTCACGATATTCTAAAATTAAGCTAAAAAGTCAGGATTTTTCTTACATATTCATAAAATCAGGATTTTTCTCACATATTCATAAAGTCAGGGGAAAAAACTATAATTCATTCAAAGACTGACAGGCAAAAGTAAAGTTTCAAGGAAACTGTAATTCAAAATATGTAATTTCCTCATAATAACATTCCTCTTTCCCTGGTAGAACCTGTCCTGTTAGCAATTTTCCTCCTGTTTATCCAATGATAAGGAATTTTTGATAGGGTTGCTAGGTTTATTGCTCTTTGTGTGAATAACTGGTTTACAGACAACATTTGAGAAAATTTAAAAGAAAAGTCAGTTTGAAGAGAATTGGTGATTTTTAAAAATTAATAACTTGATGTTACAAATGTTCTAGTATGTTTTAAGAGTAAATATTATTTGAGGACACTGATACATATCTCGCAGATTTGATTGAGATTGCATTTGGTTCCACTTAACATTAAATAAAATAATATTTCCATAATCCAACAGATTTTCTTGATCTTTTTATTTAAATAGTTTTCATATCTAACTACAAAAACACACTAATAGTTTAATCTAATCTTGATAATTAAAAATATGTTTCACAAGTTTTCTGAAAATATAATTTGGGATATAAAGTGCTATTATGCAATTTCACTTTAATATATAAGTGTTTATCCTATTCAATATATGATACTTATGAAGTAGCATATTATTACTAATTGAAACTGCAATGTTAAAAGTTTTGTTGGAGTGGGAAACGGCGGTCAGGAATTTTATTTTAGAAGGTCAGGAAAAACTTGCAAAAGTCAGGATATTGTTTTCTCAAAATAGTGTAGGAACCCTGTTGTTACATTGAATTGAAAAAGAGTTAACAGGTTTTAATTATCTGTTATCTACGTCATCAGAAACCTTTTGTCATCTAGTGTAGAAAATTTAAATGCTGGTTTCTTAAAAACCAATTTTTTTAGTGGGAGGGGAGCAAATTATCTGAAGATGGCATTTTAAATATCCGTATTTTAAAATGTTTTGTTGCGCTTAAAAAGGTAGCGATCGGAATATATGGAAATCTGATAGTGTCATGTCGGGCAAATCTGGTGGGTAATTTGTGAACTATCAACCCGATTCATAATTTTTTTTTCAGGAATTGTTTTGCATTATTATGTAAAATTCAATTATTGTGAAAATTTAATGACTAAAAGTAGGAGTACTTCAATCACCCATCGTAATTGCCCAACGTTACACCATTAGATTTCCATATATAGATTGCTATAACATTTTCTCCATGGTAAAAAATTTTAAAATATATATGATATTCGGAAATATTTTGCTCAAAAATAAAATAAAAAAAGGAAAAATAATATGATAAAAAGTTTTTTCTTATTACCTAGCCTTACCAAATTCCGACGCCATCTTTGTTAGGTGCCCTACGCAACCGCTTACTAGGCTTACACCTCGCAGGCCAGCCCTGAACATATACTTCTGTAAAAAACTCACTCAACAGGTTTCCCTTTTATCTCAATGATGATCAGAAATACATGAATCACATGCTACAGTGTGAGTGATCCCTCAAACTGAACAACGGCCTTGCATATAAAGGAACTGAAGTGATGTGATAAAAATATTTCTGTTGCAATTGATTATATCTGTTAATGTTTGTGATTGATTCTTCTAATTTCTATGTCTGCAAGAAGATGTCCATCTAGAAATTCTAAAAGGATATGGGGAAAAAAGAACAAGATCGAAATTAAGCTATCTTAAAGAAAAGAAAATACGAATTAGATAACTTTTTTTTTATTCAACCTAAATTTCAAACTACATTTTTAGTGAACTTTTCAAAAGTCTATGCTTTTAATTTCATATGCGAATTTTCATTTCTATTCAAGGAATTTTGTCCATCTCAACATTTAAATAAGTAAATAAAAGGGCTGATATATTGTTGGTGGTGTTTTAAAGTTATATAAAAATTCTTATTGTTTTAATAATCTGACCAAAATGATATGAGAATGAAAAAAATAATATAGGAAATCTTGAAATGTTGGAGGGTATGGATTCTATGTTCATTTAAGATCTTTAAACTATGTAATATGGTTCAACTATTGATGCAAAATGGTTTTCTGTATTTCCGGAACTTGAATTTTTAAACAAATTTAAAGCTCATTCGCTTAATTGTGCTTATGAATTCTTACTTTTTTGTATAATTAATACCTCTTTATTTTTCTTCAGCCTGTGATAGAATCAGCACGTCTTCTTCAATATCAAGAGGACATGCGGAAGAAAGATGAGGAAATAGCTACCTTAAATGAAAGCGTACAGAAATTAAAAGTATGCTTTATCCACTATTTTTATTTACTATTTGTTAGTTCCAAGTAATTTGTTTTGTTAATTTTCAAGCTTTTATTTCTTTATTTTTGAACATAATCTCTCGTGAGTCATTGTTACATTTAAAAATTTCAGTAGAGCTTAAGTTTTAGGGGGGGGGGGAATCAAAATTAATATTAAAAGAAAATTGTGTTGGTAATAAAGGGAATCATTTTCAAAAATATTCGCTATAGGAAAGAACTATGTTTTTTTAGGAGATGAAATAAACTACACATAATGAAATAACTTGCTTGATGAATTTATATATGTTTTCCCTTCTCTTTTTTTTGCCAAGATTATTATTTATTTTAAATAAATATTTGTTTTTCTTCCTCTGTTAAAAGTATAAATAATTATATAATATAAATGTCACAAACTCTGATTGCTATTCGTAACCCTAACTAATCATAATTTCCCATTTTTGCTCATTATACTAAATAATGGACTTTATAGTTCAAAATAAATCTTTTTTGATAGGGAAAGTTTAAATTATTATTATTTTTCTTCAAGAATTTATCATATATCATGGTAAGTTTCATGAAAAATGGGCCCTGTCACGGTCCAAAGCAACGTTATATTTCATGAAGCCTGTGTTATTGAAATATTTTAGCTAAGTCTTTGTATGCAAATGATATGTTTCTCTTTTTAAGCATTGAAATGTAATGGCAAAATATTTGCTTTTATAGGAAGAACTTAAAAATGTGAAGTCTAGAAACAAAAAGTTGTACCAAATATTAGAATCTGGGGAAAGTAAGTTGACTTTTTACCTATTGTAACAAACTTTCATGGAAAAATACAAAAAGTTTTAATTAAACTTTGATGCAGCAAGAATAATTAAAAAAAATTTATGTCATAGAGAATTTCAGCTCTAAATATTTGTACTTTTTGTATCATTATTATCTCAGTTTTCTGCTTCATAAAAATGTTATTCCTTAGCTGAAAACTCAGTATTTACCTATTACTGACATTTTTGTAATGTTTAATGCAAATTAATTTGTTCAGATTAATTAATGATTTAATCTAAAGCTTCTAATGATCTAAAGCTTCTGTTTTCGTTCAAAATGAAATTTCTGAAATATCAATACTGGTGTTTGGGAAGGAGATGCATGATCATCATTACTATTCATTTTGGTGCTTAAATGTATTAATGTTAAAAGTGGATTTACTGATGATAATATAATTTTAAGTCGATGTATAGTTTGTCTAGGGTTAAGAACTCCCCAGCCACAATGTCTGAGGTCGTCTGTTGCTATGGAAACAAGAATAGCGATTGAAGTGATTATTATTAAGGTTATTAAAAATAATGCTTTTTAAGGATGACAAGAAAATATCATAAATACCTATTTTACAGAGTTTTAACAAAGTACAATGATTTTTGTGTGAATTCAAATATTTTGTGATTAGTTTCAAATTGTGATATTTAGATTATGAGAACTTTTTGGCTTTGAATTTCTTAAATGGCTTTGATTAATGGTTTGTAAAATTATTCAAGTCTTTAGTCATTCAATAAAGTCTTTAAAGCAGTTTAAAATGTTGATCGGAAAAAAAAATTTTAATAAAAAGGAATAAGAAATTTTTTTTATTTAAAAAAAAATTATGTTTATTTTTTAATGTTATTCTTATTCTTATTATCATTATTATTATCAGAATAAAATTTATATTTTTTAATTATATTGAGTTTTTATTGTATTTAATAATTTATGTCATTGTCTCGATTAATGCGTGTACATTAAAATGTGAGCAGTCTTACCTAATACTGTTGTAAGCATGTGTTGGTTATCGATTAGCTCCAAATTTTTTGCCGAAACTTTTTCTGTTCTTCAATGTAATGTGTGTAAAACTTCAGCGTTTCCCAAAATGTAGTTTTACGAGGAACTAACAAAATTACGTAGGTGAACAGTTTGATATGATTTGTTTGAATTACTAATATTGATTGCTTGTTAAATATATTGCATGTTTCAAATCTGTTGACAGTTTTTTTCCTTCAATTCATGTTTAGTGCGTGAAAAGGCTGAAATACTTGTGCAAATAGATCAACTAACTTCTGTGAAAGATGAGTTAACAGATCAAGTAATTAAGTTATTATTATTTTTACGACTAGATCTTAGTTTAAAATCTGAGTTGTTTTTTTTAAAATTAATATCTTTCTTTTTTTCCTATCTCTTATAGTTAAGTGAATATCATACTGCTTTAGAACAAGAAAGATCCAAAGTACATTCCTTGCAAATGGAGTTGAAGAAATTTCAAGTAAGATAAAAAAAAAAAAATTTTTTTTTAAACATACTCATGCTTGCAGTAGTTAAATTGTGAGTAACATAGATTTCTCATTCAATTGAAAAAAATTTTGTAAAAATTAAGCATTCTATTCTTTTTAAAATTAGTCATCCTTCAGTTGCCTGTCATTGTGTGGGACCTGGAGACGGCCTTTGTGGCTTTGGATCATTGAGTTCCAACTTTTCTTAGATTTAAAATGGATTTCTTTATTAAAATTAGATTTTTCTAAGAACTTTAGTTAATAACTAGTAAAGTTTTATAAATATGATTGTAATTGAAATATAATTAAAAAATAAAAACATAACCAAGTGAAAATGATGGGGTATTTTTTACCAATTTTTTGCTAGCTATAGTTAGTGTTGCATTTTTGTTTGTTTTACGATGAAAGTTCGTTTACAAATCACTATTGATTTATCAACTGATATTGCTTTGTTATGCCGATTTACCTCACGGAGAGGAAAGCTTACACGGATAACGGGACTGATTGAGTTGGGGCTAGTAAAGAACTCAAATTTGTTTTAATTTGTGTTTGAAAGCTAGTGACAAATTTAATTACTATATAAACACTGAAGTTATAAAAGTTATTAGTGCCACTCTGCATCATAGGGGACTTCGATAACCTTCTGTTAAAGTAATGAATCTTAAACAAGAAAATTCTTACCTATGAAGAATTTTTTACTTTGATCACTCAAATTGAGGCATGTTTAAATTCACACCCGTGTATACTGACCCTTTAGATTTGAAAGCTCTTACATCAGGGAATTTTCTTATAGGCTGTTATTTATCTGAGATCGCAGATAATAATTTAGTTAGAAATTTTTTTTCTTTAAATAAGAGATAGCTGTTCCACATCTGATGCAAAACTTTTAGAAAAAAATGGTCTGAAGACTACCTGTCACAGTTACAAACTAGATTTAAATGGCAAAAGCAATGTTATTACTTACGAGTAGGTAATCTTGTTATGTTGAAAGATGAGAATTTACCCCCTTTAAAATGGAAGCTAGCTAATGGTTTATCCTGGTTTAGGTGAAAAGGTCCTGGTTTAGAAGAGTAGTTAGACTCAAGACCTTCAGTAGTGTATTAAAACATCCAATCACGAAACTGATATTGTTGCCATAGAATAACGAACAATAAACTAATTTGTATTTCTTTTCATTAGATTGAATTTCTTTTCATTATTATTATTGTTTATTATTGATCATTACATTATTTACCTATTTAAATTATTTGATTTGAATTTATTGATACTTGGTTTAATTTTGATATTTGTATTAATGCCTTTAAATATTGATTTGTGCTTGAAAAATGATATGCACGACACTGACAATTCACTGCCTTGCTCCAAGATCTAATACTATAATACTAAAAGAACTTTTTTTTTAAAAAAAATTAATAAATGGCATTGCTGTTAGCATTTTAAAATGACTTTGCACTAGCATTGACTGTTTTGTAAAGTTAAAAAATTTAATTGAACTTCAAAATTTCATGTTTCTTTCATGTCACAAACAATGTTTCCAATAATAACTAGCTTCAAAACTTTCCATAAATTTTTCTATATCTAATTTTTTTTATCTCAACCGGTGTAAGCATTTCTAGAATATACGCAGAGGGTATTATTTACAAAAACTTCGTTTAAAATAATTTTTTCTGTCAGTAATTTCTTTATCCTAAGAAAATCTGTCATTTTCCTGGATACTTTTATTTAGTGGTTTATAACCAAAATAGATAGAGCCAGCAATCAATATCTTATGTTAATAGATTGATTAGGTACCCTCCTATATGAACATGTCTTGTTGTATGAATAAAGAACCAATTTTCTGGTTCAAAATCTTTTTCAAAAAATTTTTCAAGCTGAGTAGGTTTTTGGGTTGTCATTTTCCTGGCCTCTTGAAATCATTAATAACATAAACTACATAAATTTATCTGAGTTATTAGAAATCTTGTTGTTTTCTGTAGAATATAAATGTCTTAAGCCAAAATATGAAAGTAAAGTTGTATGCTATAAAATGGCGAATTTGTCATTATCCTGGCTTATGAATGCCAAGACATTGAAGTGTTCCCAGAATTTTTTTTTTTAACCGCTAATACTGTAAGGAGGGGAAGCAAATATTAACCTAATACCAAGTTTACGTATGATTATAATATGTTCAGATGTAATCAAAGTTATTTATTTATTTAATGATTGATTATTATACACAATTTTATTCTGTACATATCAGCAACAAAATTTTTTTTGATTCTTTCTACAGTCAATAAAAAGAATTAATTTAAGCAATTGATGGTCCATCTAACATAAAGGCTCAAGTTGAGTTACTTACTATTAACTTAAAATGACTATTTTAAACTTCTAAGCTAATATGTCATTTTCCTGGCATTCAAGATTTGGTGAATTTCAATTTTATTTTTTTTTTCTCAAGCAAATGTTAATAAACTACACTGCTGTCTGTAAGATATTAATAAGTGTAACTAAAGAAGTATACAAAAAAAATTTTAGATTATTTTGAAGTCTTTAAATATGAAGAAATTTTTTGGTACGAATTGTCATGTTTAAAAAGAATCACCCATATATGTTTGAATTCAGTTAGCATTTTTTATCTTTAATAACAATCGTTAAAATTTTAACGTCAGATTTAAGTATAAAACTTCAGTTTGCTAAAATGGTTTTAAATTTAATTCATTCTTTGAATTTATTAAAAATAACTTTATTAATGTAATATGAAAGAAAAATTTTTTTGGTGGGAGGATGTTGCAGCCTCTCTTTTGAATGAAATGAAAGGGGAGGGACACTCATAATTTATCTCTGCACCCTGCTTAATAAAACAACTTACATGTTTAATATTTTAAATTATATGTTTGATTGTCTTCGTGGAGATACATTTTCGATTTGTCGTTCCTCTTTCTTTGTTAGAAAGTTATTTCTTTTTTACTTTAAACTTAAATTTGAATTAATAAATTGTTAAATTTTTGTTAATGTTGTGAATTTTGTTGTTGTCAAATTTAATTAATTTTGAATTATGCTTTAGGTACTGCCGCATTTTCCTATTAGTACACATCATTCATTTTAGTGTTTGTAGAATTACAAATAATAATTTATTTCTATTTTATTCATTTTACTAATTAATTTATCAATAACTTTTTTTAAAACGAATTTAATTTATGTTTGAAGTCGCATTGATTTAAATCAACACACCCTGTTTAATTTTATTTTACTATCGAAATCTTTAAGCAGCTGACCTGCTTTTGAGTTCACAATTTATCAATATTCAACTCCATAGCTTTGCAATTTTGAACTCCACGCAGAAGACAAGGAAACTCCTGGATCAACCATTGGGACAACTTAGCCTTTGGAAGAATTTTTTGATGGAAACCTGCTTTTGCATTACATAGAACAGAAAATCCCACATGGTTAGCCCAATGGCAAGGGGACTCTAACCCATAATCCATCTACCATCGAGGATATTTTACATCGGAAATGTGGTAGGTGCAAACTCGGATCAGAATTCATATTGTTGAAATGCAAACCTAGGTCGCACCATAGGGAGGTGATCGCTCTGTCCTCTGAGCCACAGTGGCTCAACGAACCCAATTTAAGAAATTTTATTTTCCATATATATTTTTTTTTTAATTTTGCATGATTTACTTTAGGAGCATAATTTAATTCCCTCCTATTATTCTAAATATATTCAATAAAGTAACTTTTCTTTCCAGAATAAAAAGATGCGTACAGAATCAAAATGATGCTTCCCTGTGATCTTCAGTTGATTTCACTAAAGCCTGACACATCTGTGCTAACTACAGAGACAGAAAACCTCAGGCCTCTTTCAAAGAATGAAGAAAGCTGCCCACGAGAGTTTTTTTTTCTATTTCTTGGTTATAACTTAAAAGAAAAACTTTTTGATTTGAATACTCCTCACGGAAATAACTTTGTTGGTGTTTTTCATATAATTATTTTGCAGTTGTATTTTTATTATAATGTTTCTTTTTTAATTTTATATGCTATTTTGTTTTTATTTATAATTCTTAGGATTATGCTCTGGTTCATTCTTTTTTTTGTTTAATTCATTCTTTTTTTTTTAAATTCATTCTTTTAGAAAATAGTGTTTCTGAACTGCAAAATATTGTTGATTGCATTGTTAAAATTTAGTTGTAACTGAGATTAAAATTTTTATATACTACTTACTCAAGCGTTCTTCTTTGATTATTTTTTTCCCAAATTTAGACATGTAAAACCGGAAATTTTTGTTTATATTTACACAATCTTACATCATTTATTTTACCAACCAATCTTACAAATTTGCTGAAGTAATACATAATGTAAGAAATGCATAATTAAGTAATACTTCTTAATTATAAAATAATGTTTTTTTTTTTTTNTTTTTTTTTTTTTTTTTTTTTTTTTTTTTTTTTTTTTTTTTTTTTTGCAATATCATCTGACATTTATTAGCAAAATTTCTTAAATTCTGATGGGGATCATGAAAATGAAAATCACTCTCTTTTCATTTAGTTTCTTTTTTTTTTTTTTTTTTTTTTTTNTTTTTTTTTTTTTTTTTTTTTTTTTTTTTTTTTTTTTTTTTTTTTTTTTTTTTTTTTACAAGTTATTATTTTATTATGTTGAATTACGGTTTTCTATCATTTACATTTAGATTTATTTATTATATGGTTAGATTATTATTTTTAGTTTTTGATGATTGAGTTATATTTTAAAAATTATTCTTCAGTTAAAGAGTGCTTTTTATTTTCTTTTGGGCAGTAAATTGATTATAATTTACAGTTTTAAAGATATCTTGCCCCCTTTAGAGACCAGCTCAATCTGCTCACAAACTCTTGACTGCCAAATATGACATTTCGGAATTGAGACATTTCAATAATTGATTTAAAAAAAGTATTAAAATAAAAACTTTAAGCTCATTTATATGATATTCTTAACTTTTATTCGTAGCTTTTAGTTAACCCCAAAGAATTGTGAAACTTTTAAAGGTATTAATTTGTTGGAGACTAAACTCTTATTCTAATTATTTATTTTGAAATATGACAAAAAGTACATTTATCATAAAAACAAACTACTGTTAGAAGTTTGAATTTAAAATAAACAGAATAACTACCTATGTTTATTACAAATCTATTAAATACTTTATTTCTGAAATCTAATATTTCAAAAATCCCTTTAATTCAATCTTCACAAATCCAAAATCATTGAAGTGTTAGTGCTTACATAATATAGTAACCTATTTTTCATCCTACATATTTGACTTCTAAAATATATTTAATAAAAAACTTTTTTTTACAATAAATGTATTTTATACTTCAAAACTTTTTTTAAGTGTATGTAAAATTCAGTTTTTTAATTTGCTTTATATTTGTATACTTTCTGAAGACAGCAGTAGATCATATGCTAATATAAATAACTGGTTGCCAACTTAAATACAGAAGTATGTATTATTTTGATGCCACTTGAGATATATACTGTGACATATTTTAAAAGCAGATAACTCTCGAACCAAAAAAATTATCTGTTTTGGAAGAGGAGAAGATGTTAACTGAGAAATCTAGCTCTAAACTTTTTTAACTAAATTAATCCAATAATATTTTCACGCTTATAAAATTCTGTAACTTACTTTTCTTTCAGTTATTATTATTAAAATTTTAGATGGCAAATTTGATAAATAAAGAACATATTAACTTTAAGCTTTCTTTGGTTATAATCTAAACTGAATTTTTTTTCTGGATAATTTCCTTACAATAGTTCGGAAGTAAACGTTTTTGACGTCAATGACGTTTTTTTTTTAATGAAATTTATATTTGAACTATAATTGGAAATTCTTTTAATAAATTCGGCGAATTTAAAATCACAATATGAAATGTCTCTCTGACATATGATAAGTGCTATAAAGATACTGGCAATACCTATGTGGACCCATTAAACTCTTTGTATAAAGATAGTTGTTGTAATGCGCTATACAATCATATGGTAAAATCTTGGAATAGCCCACCTCTTGGCTTTGAAATCTCGCCAAGTTCGCAATTATTACTGGAATCAACGTTGCTTTTTAATTATTAAAAAGAAACAATTTAAATTATATGCCCGCCATTTTCATCTGGTACTGCACACAAAAAATTCAATAATAATGGTAATAAATGAAATAATGGTTAAAAATGAAATAATAACGTTTCTAACAGCAAGAGTTCAGAAGCATAAATGGCCAAAAAATAAACCCTTTTACCTCTTTTCTAACAAAATTCAACTTTCTCGTAGGTATACATATCAAATAACTGATCAGGTTTAAGAATTTTGGTGGTGTGATCAGACATACAAAATAATCTTCCCTAAATATCTTCCAGTTAAATGCTGAATTTAAATAAGTTTTAAGAAATATGATTTTTCTCTCATTTGTTTTTAAATAGTATATGTTATTGTCAATAAATGTTTCCTTTATATGGGTTTAAACATCAACAAGACATCATTCTGTATTTCATTAGGAGTCTAGATATGGTTTTATTCAAATTTAGTTTTAAGTGGAATGTCTAAAAGGAGCAGATATTTTCATCATTTACTGTCTGTTACATAGTTAAATCTGGCTTATCAACCTAACGAAGCTACAATTATTTTAAGGATGGTTAACTGACTGTAAACAATAACAGGATTCTCGCACTCTGAATCTTGAAAACTTCTGGTGTATCCTTGCGCTTATGATCTGTTTAAAAGGTTTGATATTCTAGCTAGTTTTACGAGTCGAATTTGTATTTAAATTCACACACAGTTTTAGTATTCTTTAGATTTTTCTGTATTTTGTAAAAGGTCATGAGCCATAAATCGACTTAAGGATATAAGTTATAATCTATAAAAGATATATTATGACCTAAATAAAGTGTAAAGGTTGCCATGTTTTGAGTGTTAATTATTTTAATATCAGCTGAAATTTCATATATTTACAAATGGAATAGCAAATATCACAAGACATTGCAAATACAATAACAGTCTATGATGATGAGGTTTTTAAGCTTAGATATAAAAATAAATCAAAAGAAGTAACCTGTAAGTATTATTACGAAATATAACTACCGGTGCCATCTGCTGTTTAGTTTCAGAGGTATAGCTGAATCTTACATCTCCTAGGGACAAACTCAGCTTTTACACCCCTTCACAACATAATCTTAGATTTAAGGGATTGTGCTTTACGTAAAAAGTATAATTTTTTTAATAACAATATAATGAATTGATTTTGGAAAGAATATGTATTCATAAAAAATTGCATTATATTATTTCCCATCATGCTTTGCCATAGAAAAAAAAAAAACTAAATTCGTTAATAAAAAATTATGTTTTTCTTGCAACTATTTTCAGCGTTCAGTTCTTTTTAGTTTTCACTTAAACAACAATCTTAGCTTTGCTTTCTTTTTTTTTTTTAAATTCATTTTCAACTTACCTATTTACTCCAAAAACAAATTCATAGCTTGACTGGATTTCCACTACTTAACTGTGAAAACCTAGTTCAATATTATTAATAATAAAACGATATAAAAATTTCATTGTTCTTATTTTATTTTATAACCGGCACCGTAATTTTGAATCCAACCCAGAAATCAAGGGAACTCCTGTATCAAGCATCGGGACAAACTAACCTCAGTAGAGAACTTTTTGATAAAAATAACCCGCATTTGCTTTTTTTTTTTTTTTTTTCGTTTTTGATTTCTATTAAATTTGCAAAGCAATTTCTTTATTTTGCGACAGAGTAAGTGGGTGCTATCAAGCCTTTCATATAGAAAAGCTCCCGTAAGACGTTTTGAAGTTCATTGCATCTTCATCAAGGATTCCAGGTTCGTGTCTGGTCCATTGCAACATTTTTTTTTTCTTGGAATTTTTAAAAATATTTTTCTTAAAAAAAATACGCTAAATTTACTTTATCAAAAATTTACCTGATCTGAGCTGTAATGCGAGAGAAAAAGATTAACTTTATGAATAAAATCGTATGTGCAAAGCAAATTGCGTTGCTTTCCTTCAGGTTTTTACATTTTTAAATAAATCGGTTGAAAATTATAGAGGTGCATGTAAAAAAATATAATTAATTTTGAGAATAGGCGACATCAATGCGCGTCAATGTAAAAAGCTCTATATTTCCTAATATGTAGAAAATATTCTCAACTCTATTAAGTTCTGCAATGATTAAAAGAATCCCCCCCCCCTTTAAATTTCAGTGGTGTTTGAAAACAACCAACGTCTGAAAAAAATTAAGATTAACTTATGGAATACCAAATGAATTACGAAATACATTCAGTTATTATTAATTTTACATATTGGATTTAAAAAATTGTGTCCGAAATTCCCGAACATGCGTTGATTTATCAATTGCAGCAAATCCTTTGTTTCTGTTTATCTGTTTTGTAATTGATATAAATGGAAAGAGAATATTTTTATCATTTTTGATATTGTGAAAGACATTTAAAAGAGCTCGATCATGTGAGAAACGTAACTCGCTTTAAAAAAGATAATTTTAAGTGCGATAGAGAGTGAAATCACTCAATAAATGTAATTCTAGAAGAACGTGACGTTGAAGGAATAATATAATGCATGCTTTATCTTTCCCATTTGAAATAAAAATGAAACCAATGGGTAAAAAGTTTAGTAACACACGGAGATAGTTTCGATTTCGTATATATGTAAAAGTTTCTCATTGTGTAAAAACGAAAGATTTATTTTTTACATTGTCCTTTCATTTGACGCTAACAACATACTTATGTTTAAGTGTTTTTAAAAGAAAAATAAATTTTTTGCTCGTAACAACTTGTTGGTTACAGTAAAAAAGTAAAGTTCTTAAATAATTGTTTAACTTGAAATGAATAACTAAACAAGAAAACAAATGGGTAAAAAGTTTAGTAGTAACTCGCAGAGACAGTTTCGTATATGTAAAAGTTTTTCATTATTTTAAAAAGAAAGATCTATTTTTTATGGTTTCCTTTCACTTGGCGCTAACAACATACATTTATTTAAATGTTTGTATTTTAAATAATTTTTTTTTGCGCGTAACAACCTGTTGGTTACTGTAAAAAAATTAAGTTTTTAAATAATTGCTCAATTGGAGAAATTTGCATTAATGCTTGCACATTCTGCTTTAGCTGTTATTTAAAAACCATTACTATAATTAACATCAAAAAATTAAACAGATTTTATAACACAGGATTTG